GCTTCCATGACTGAAATTCGGTAATGCTAAAGAAAGATTGAGGGGTTGCAAATTTACATTTGCTATGATTATGTTTCTGTTGCTATCTAATCACATGAGATAATAATAATAATTAGTATGTAATACATGTATAATAGTGATAATCTAGATAAATAAAATTATTCATAATATACATAATAGTGATAATAATAATTAATCATAGATTATAATAATATATAATTTTAATTATAATTATAATAGTGATAATAATAATAATAATAATAATAATAATAATAATAATAATAATAATAATAATAATACTAGTGAAAATCATGTTTGTTTTAGTTGTATTTTTCCTGGGAGGGAATGTGTATTTGTTGACTGGAAATCTATTCATTATTCAATATTAAAACACTCCATTGTCATGTTTTTTTTATTACTCAATGTATTATTTATTTTGCTGCTTCTTTTTATGAACTTAACATGTGTAAGGCCTGTCACCCTAGCTCTAACCGCTAACCCTGCTAACCCTAACATTTACATTTAATTGGCTTCACAGATCAAATACTGAGTGTTTGATTCTTGTTGTTTTCAGTAAAGATATGAATCCTTGTTGAAATGACGCAGATTGCTAACTGCTCCCTCTCTTCTCTTGTTGTCCTCAGGTGGGAAATCAGAGAGGAGTTCGTACTCGTACGGCAGAGAGTCCAACCCACACTGCCACCAGGTCAGTCCCACTCCGACTGTCTTCTTTTATACCAAACGTTTGACCTTTCAGATGTTGTTGTAGGGAGCCTGTGGTGCACAGTGCTGTAGTGGGGACTTTTTTACTGGGTGGACGGGGCGGGGAGACACTATGGACGCGCTCGTGAACTGTCAACGGGGGGTGGGGTACACTTTGGACCTCTGTGTCGCCTGTCAGCGCAACTTACATGATGCCATTTTTGACAATATAATAATAAAGGGCTGTGCCGGCCGTCAGCGAACCAATCCGGACTTTCTGCGCGACTGTCACTCAAATGCGGGACATAGTCTCAATTTGTGGGACGCGGGACAAATAATAAAAAAGCGGTGTGTGCAGTCCCGCACAAAGTGGGACACCTGGTCACCCTACACACACACATGGTGCTGCCCCTGACACACACACGCTTCAAATCAAGTTGCATAAATGCTTGAGCTACGTTTTTATTATAATTACTGTGAAATCTGCCTATTATGTTTTCGTCATTATTACAACAAATACACACTTGCAACTGATAACACTGGCAATGATTTTATATTTATTTGACTATTAAAAAAAAATCATGCTTCAAATAAGTGGGGGTACGGCGAGTTTTCAAATTGTTTCAGTTTTTGTATATTTTTAGGGAAATGTTTTAATTAACGTTGGCCTTAGGTGGGAGCACAATTTCTGTATTTCTACTCACAATGTCTGAATACATATATTGAACAACTAAGGGTTCATTTGTAGGATTGATTGCTTACTTTGCCCTAGATCAGTATATAGCATGAATAATAATCACACATCAGTCACATTTACTACCCAATAGCATTGTGAGGCTGGACAAAAGGACCTTATGACGATGTAAATGTCGTCTTTACGAAACATTTACTGACTATTTTAGGATAGCTTAAAGTGATGTTGTAAAATAACAACTGGGGGCCTTACAGGGTTAAAGCCTGTCGCTCAGCAGTAGAGCTTTATTTGATAAAGCTGTGAACGTACACAGGAGAGCAACCCTGTTTGGAGCTGATCTGAGGTCAGTGGTAGTGGATGTTCGGTTTAAAGGCGAGAGGACTTAAGCACCTGAGTCGTTATCCCTTACCAAAGTGGAAAGGGTTAAGGGAGAAATTACTGTAACATAGGGGGGAAATATCAGAACTTCTATTACTATTCATTTTACTCTATTAGTTAATAACATCTCACAAAAATGAATTTTCCTCCCATTTAAGTCAAGTTTATGTGCATTTTATGGATTTAGGGTCAATATTTCAGCAACACCTTAAGTATAACTGACTGGGCTGTGTTGATGAGATGATTTTGAAGTTAATTTGGTTATTATTTAAAAGTTATTGTCCATTATTTGTGAGTATGTGTCAAAACATCCCATTCATTTAATTAGGCGTTTAATCTTTTGTTGATAAGAAAAGTTGATCAATGCAGTTTTAAAGTAGTCTTTGACTTATTGTTCCCTGCAACTTCTCCGCTGTGTTTAAATCATGCAGGTAGCAGCACAACAGGTGATTTGGTTTGTTTTATTATCTAGCTTCCTATGTGTCAATCATCCTCACATCTACTAAAAACAACATCTGTTGCATGTTTTTTTTATATTTTTATGTTTTCCTGAGAGATTCTCAACTTTACTACATTTCCCCAACTTCATAAAACAAATAATTACTCATTTTAACTTCAAGTATAATTATTTTTAAAGGAATATTTATCGTCGGTGGTGGCGCCAGGTGTTGTGGGCTTGGGTGATGGCGGGGTTTAGGGAAGCACTGTAATCTTCCCGCTCAGTTCTCACGGACCATATGCATCCACGAGAAGATGCACGTTGATAATTAGGAGGAAATACAGATGTTGGTGTTTGATTCTGCCGATGGAATATTAAACAGAGAGGCTGGATGTGCTCGCTGTAATTTGATGACCTCCTTCTGGTTTTTGAAATGAAAAATCACATATGAGCACAGGCTGTTGGACGAGTTCTGATGATATTCATTCATTTTTGTTTTGGTATTGAACTTCTATAAATTAAAGCTTGTCAAAGAAGCGGTTTTCGTGCTCATACAAAATCAAAGATGTGCTAAAATCATGTTACAGATTATGGTTAATGAATGAAAGCTGTTACATTTCCACTAGTGAGGTCGGAGGTTTCACATCAGGGGAATTACATGTAGATTAGAATTAGGATATTGTTAAAAATAAAAATAAAAATAAAATAATTACACCTTTTTTTTTTTTTCAATAATTCAAATATAAATACGTTTGATTTTTACAGGTGAACGCCTTTCATTGTTGCAACAAAACTTTTCAAAATAATTACACTTTTTATGTTATGAATAAACTACTTTATAAAACGTACTAGTATGTGTACTGTGTTTTGCATAAGGGTCACCAAATATTGGGCCCTTGTTTCAAAAATGCATATTTTACGTGAATCTGCACAACATAAGTCAAACTGTTTAAAAATATTTTGCAAATATCAACTAACATTCATGTTGGTCATTTATATCTTAAACATGTGTTATATATTTAAATATGTATTGTCAGATGAGTAAAATCTAAATACAAAAAACCAAGGCCAGTTAGGAGACAGGAAGTGTATCCCATTTCATACCGTTGGCGCTAATTGTAATCTACTTCCTTTACTGAGCTCCACCCTCTTCTGTCACTTATTAGCCCCCGGAAGTTAGATGGCGTCGAAGCAAATGTACGTAGTAGCCGAACAGCGGTACTGATACTTCGGTGTCAGTCACGGGACGTCATTGGGCCCAAACTTTTTCCAATTTCTGACTTTCATTGGAATAAAGACCTCTGTAAAGCGGAGTATCATATTTGTTTAGGTTTAGCAGTGTTTCCCACAGAATTTGATTCTATTTGTGGGGGCACCACACCCCGCCACAAATAAATCAATGTATGGGAAACACTGTTTTAGCAACTATCCAGTACAAATATTATAGACTTTATTTAAATCATTAGGTCCTTAAAGTCCAGAATCCAGAGTTACTTTCCCTCTCCCTTCATTTGACTGAGTGGAAACCAGACGTGACGGAGCAAATAGAAGGCGGGGCTTAAGGAAACCGCTCCTTGGACCCGGGTCCCGGCAGATCAGAGCATTTTTATTATTGAGGCCATTTTGTCTTCATGCGCCATTGAGCATCTTTCATACCAAGGAACGTAGCTCCGCCTCTAGCGCTGCATCCACTTCTCTTTATACATGGTCATTTGTGCTTCTGAGAAAAAGCAAGATGGCGACGGCAGAAATGCCAAACTCAAGGCTTCAAAACAGCCAATGGGTGATGTCACCATAACGAAGACTTCTTTCAACAGTTTATCATTAGAATAGTTGTTGTATTAGGGAACTCATCATGATGCCAGATGAAATTGTGAAGTAGTATGGATTCAGTAGAGATCTGTCTGTTGATTTATTAAAGTATGATGAGCCAAGGCGACAGACGTTGGGAATAAAATCGAGTGTCAGTGGAGGTAATGGTGTAGTGTGCCATAGTGGAAGACAACCAACGCAGCATCTGGGAAGCGTCACGACGTCCCGATAAAGAGACTTACATGTCAGAGTGTTTTTGCCTTCTCTTGCCCAGTTTGACAGATTTAACAGTGTGGTCTTTGGCTGCAAGTTATCTGCCGCAAAAAACTGTAAACAGGAAGAAGTGTAGGATAAATTCTATCATACTTCATTTCAATATGACTACTGACCTTGAATTAAGTGGGGGTTAAGGGTCTACTCCAAGTATGTTAACAGGATAGCAATATTATTTCAAACTAGGTCCACTCAATTTCAAGTTCAAATACATTCTTCATTATTTGTATTTTGAATATGAACACCAGTATTTTACAGAGGTTATCAGGGGTTGCCCAATAGGGACGATAAAACCGAGTCCAAGTCCAAATATGGTCGCCCAGGGTCATTTCTTCAATTACTTTCGAGCCTTGTGAATAAATAGGACATGGAAAGTAGAGTGAAAGAATGTAAAGAAAACTAAATAATCCATGTGTGGCATTTAAAATAGCAGTTTTCAGACTGAGGGGTAGGAAGATCTTCCTGCCGTTTGGTTTTTACCTTTTTCTTTCTGTCACAAGGACAGGATTTGGCCCCGACGACCTCGTGAACAAACATAAACAGAGGGAACATGCCGAGCATGTCCAACTTTGTTCAGTACTTGTTCAGTTCAGTATTTTGTGAATTGAATATTCATTGATTCATTTGTTAAGTCATTCACTTACAGTATACTCTATTTCTTAAAGTAGTTGTATCTTGTATTAATAATTGATTCACCGTTTTCTTCTTGTCGTAAAATTGTGATATTCATTTGTTCATTGAGCTATCCTTTTTTAATGATGGTGGATCTCTCATCCATCCACCCATCCGTCCATCTATCCATCCATCCATCCATCTATCCACCCATCCATCCTTCCTTCCATCCATCCATCCATCCATCCATCCATCCATCCATCCTTCCATCCATCTATCCATCTATCTATCCATCCATCCATCCATCCTTCCATCGATCCATCTATCCATATATCCATATATCCATCCATCCACCCATCCATCCATCTATCCATCCACCCATCCATCCATCCACCCACCCATCCATCCACCAATCCATCCATCCATCTATCCACCCATCCATCCATCCATCTATCCATCCACCCATCCATCCATCCATCCACCCATCCATCCATCCATCTATCCATCCACCCACCCATCCATCTATCCATCCATCCACCCATCCATCCATCCATCATCCATCCATCTATCTATCCATCCATCCATCTATCTATCCATCCATCCATCCATCCATCTATCCATCCATCATCCATCCATCCTTCCATCCATCTATCCATCCATCCATCTATCTATCTATCCATCCATCCATCCATCCATCCATCCATCATCCATCTATCCACCCACCCATCCATCTATCCATCCATCATCCATCCATCCATCTATCCATCCATCTATCTATCTATCCATCTATCCATCCATCCATCCATCTATCCATCCATCCTTCCATCCATTTATCACTGACTTGATGATCTTTTATTTATAACCACCTCTCATATCCAGCTGTGGCCTTTGTGAGGCTACAGCAAACTGTAGAGGACAAAAATGTGAAATAAATCAAACATTACTGCCTCGCTGGCCACTTTCCTACTGGGCTGCTGTCAAATTATCCTGTTACACAGTCTGAATGGCTCCTGATGGAAATTGTTTGGAAATGGCAGATACATTTACATGCTGGGCTGAAGTCCAAAATCCTCTGGCTTCATCCTCTGCCGTTAGTGAAAGAAAAAAAACACTTAGAGGGGAGGATGAGCTCATGCTAACAGCGGAAAAAATCCCAACGACCCCAGTTTATTCCACAACTCTCTGACCAATTCAAATCCATTTGTACCATTGGAGTTTTGAAGCAATTTAGGTTTTGTATCTACATTTTGGCTCGAGTTTAGTTCAGTGTCTCTTCTAACTCACCACAGTTTTGTTATGATGCTCAATCACAGCCACAATTTGACCATTTTCTCCAGCTGAGATCCAAACATTTCACTTTTAGAATCTGTATTGAACTTCCATTACAATTACAATTCATTGTTTGGTCTGACATCTTCTTGATATTCTCTGTTGTTTGGGAATTTGAGGTTAGTGTGCTGATGGGAACAGTTACTGTTTCTCTGGTCCATCTAAGAAATATGTCGGTTTACGAATGACTTAAATACTGTATTTATACTGAACTAAATGTATTCAATTTGCTCCCACCCACAAAGCTCTGATTGGTTACATAACATTGGAAACAGTCTTCAACGGCACTATATAATCGTTGAAAAGACTTAAAGTGCTTTCAGTGAATCATACGTTTGGAACCAAGCTAGATTCTGCAGAACGTGTCAGTAATTTGGGAGATTTTTGGCTGTAATTGTATCTTCCCCATCCCTGGTCCCCTTCTCTTTTTACCTGCATTTGGGAGTTATGATCACATAAAGTGAACATGTTATGTTTCTGAATTCCTATTTTCTGGTTTTTAATCCAGTTTGGCAAATAATTCATGTCCTTTTGAAAACGTGCATTGAAGGACTTCTGGCAGGTGTAAATTAGGGACCACATAGTTTTAGATTAAATGTAGTAATTTAGTTGGTCGTGTTAATGGCTCGTGTGTGTGTGTGTGTGTGTGTGTGTGTGTGTCAGAACTTTTTTCTGTAGCTTTGGTTAAACTTACATATACAGATGTTGTCGGTTTAAGTAGANGTGTATTTTCTGGTAATGCTATATAATAAACAACTGGAAAACTCTCAAGTACCAGTTCATACCCTGGTTTGTTCGGGCTTGGAACTGACGAACCTGCTGGTTCCCAAGCCAAAGGTCCCTAGTAGTAACACACACTGCCCCAAACACTTAAATCTGAATATCACTTAAATCTGCGTTTCAAATGACACGAATTGTAGTGACAGTGTATGTAGGGAAAGGATTTTGACGAAAGAACACACAACGACGGTCAGTTTTTGTCCTCCTTCCAGCTTCGTGTAGTTGCCGGGGGAACGGGTCTCGCCGCGTCCTGGCTCGGGTGTTCGAGTACGAGAAGAAAAAAACAAAGGAAAGGAAAGAAAAGACGCCACCAATCAATGAGACCCTTTTGTTTTAGTGGAAACCCCCCTGTTACCCCTCGACGACACACACACAACCACCACACACACCACACACCACACACAACACACTCCAACACACACCACACACACACCACACACACTGGAACACGACACGGACAGAGGGACGGGATGACTGAAATGGTGTTGTGATTGTGTGTGTGCCTTTGTGTCTGACTCCCTCTCCTTCTGTGTTGTTTTGTGACTGGGACTTTATTTAGGACAAGGGCCCTTTTGTTTAAGGCCGGAGAATGGCTCTGAGGAAGGCCGAGGCTGGCCCTGTAATTGGCTACTTAGGCCCTGTTTAGCATGAGAAAAGCCTCCTTTGCCCGGCAGTCCAGCTGAACTCTTGGTTTTCAGCCGCGGAGAGGACGGACGCCGGTTGATCAGAATTCAGATTAAGCCCAAAAAAAAACCCCCCCCCTCGGAACACACTGCTCCAACCTCTGTTTAATACACTGCACACTAATTCTTAACGAGAAAACTGGGAAAAAAGCGCGTAGAGTAGCGGCTGGGTCTATTTAAGGAAAAAGGTTTGAGGGGGGGGGGGGCGGGAGGGTCCCTTCTAGCTAACTTTTTGTGCCTCTTTAGAAAAAAAGAAAATAGCCTCTCCTCCATCCTTCTCCCCGTCTTTTATTCTCTCGATCGCTTCACTCCAGAGCGGCCCAGACGCCACTTGTTGCCGGCGAATCATTGAACTTAATTAGCAGGACAATGTGTGAGCGGTTTGCTAAGTTTGAGAAGCCGTAAACAGAGTCCGAGTTAGAGCAGGGAGGAAGCAGAGAGGAGAAGTTAGAGTCTGAGCTGTGGGAGGAACGTGTCCGCGCTGAGCAGCATGAAGTCGCGCTCACGGAGGTAAATACCATCACATACCACGGCTTCATTTAACGTTATCACCTAGCTCAGAGATAGGCTTTGGTCCAGGAGTTAGCCAGCTTCAAAATCTAATCCAAAGGGCAGTTGTGTGTATTTTTATTTATTAATTTGTCTTTGTGATTGGAAATGACTATCTATCTTTATATCTATTTATCCATCTAACAAAAGAGTCATGTAATCTATATTTTTACATTTTTATGACTGGAGAGAAAAAAAATGGTTTGTGAATATTGAAAATAATTGTTTTGTTTTTTTACATTAAATAAAAAATACATTATGTTCACAAGCAAAACTTTTAAATTTGATTAAATTATTTTACTTTGAACTATGTTTCATTGTGTACTGTACTTTTGGCAGCCATGGATTTCCATATATGTACTCTCAAGGTTGATCAATTAACCAATTTATTACAAGCTATTCTAAGCTAAACATACTTTGGTTGACTAATACTGTGTTTGATTGACTTTATTTTTAAAAGTCTAATTGATCTAATTCAAACTTTGTAATATGATTATTTTCTGGTTTCTTTACTTCTAAATAGAATATCCCTGAGTTGTCAAAAAACAAAAGACAATTGAGCACGTCTAATGGGGATTTAGGCAACATTGATAACCATATTTTATCACATTCTGCAATTATATTGACCAACCAAGTCAATAAATTAAACCAAAACATAATCCACAAGATAATTGACGATGAAAGTAAATGTTAGTTGCTCTGCTAATCCTAGATATCTTGTTATATTTGGTCAAAATTCCAATATATTGAACCAATAACACGAGTCAACATTATCAATCCATTTCCAGACTGTCCTCAACATCCTACCGTTAGTCAATGTTTGAGGCACTTGACATTTTCTGTCAACACTCACACACAACAATCACTGGTTTCAGCTAAGTCTTCTAGATCTTTCTACTGGCTGGTGTTCTGATTATGGGAGACATTCACATATCACAAAGTGTGTTGTGTTGGACCCTGATGTTCTAGTTCTCTGTGTTGTAAACTGAGGAAAGTATTCTGGGTAGTTGCTAAGGATTGTTCAAATATCCTCTCTTCAACATTTCTTCAAACATTATCTTCAACAATCGAGCGTACGTTCTGTGTTCAGTGTTCTATCTTCCTTCCAGTTTGTGCTATCAACATTGCGACGATCAATATTTCATTGTCAGACTTTGGCTATTGTTGGTACGTCAGGCTTTCCTCACAACACTGCTGACAACTTTCCAACGGCCCGCCAAACTACAGACTTCACAACGGACTTGCCTTTTGGATAATTCCAAATATTTTCGTCCCAACATTCTTGTAAAACCTTGTTTTCAACCGGCTGTAGAATCGTACTGGACTCGTTTTGTTTCAATACTGTTTTAGCAGGAAGTCAGCTGATATATATTTGTGCCATAGATTCCTTCCAAAAGTATTTTATTCTCGATTCATTGTGATTGACCGCACAAAGCTTATCAAATGTATCGATCAAAGAAAAGGAAAATAAACACACATTGACATTAATGGTCTTGGTTTAAAGTGCTTGGTTTATTGGATTTGTGTGTGTTCATTTATAAGCCATAGCATTGGATCTTTTGCGGTCATAATATATTAGACAGTATTTAATTGTGTCTTAATTTACATTTTTTTAATTTCATGTTCTTGTACATAACCCATATTCTATAGACTTTTTGCAATACTTTTTATTTTGTATTTTTGTATTTTATTGTGTTGGAAGTGCTCAGGTCAGAAGAATTTAATTGCCATTCCTACACTCTGGCTTTGTGCATCTGTCAATAAAACCTTTGAATCTTTGAATAATTTGACTAAATTACCAATGTTTCTCCTTCTTTCTGTTCCTGTCTGTCTGATGTTCCTCGACCAGTCGGTATTGGGGGGAGAGATGGGTTTGGGGAGCCCCGGTGGCGCGGCGTCGCCCACCAAGCCGGCCGGGCAGTACTACCAGCACTACGGCTCCAACCCTCGGAGGAGAACACTGCCGATGGACACCATGGGTGAGACGCGCTGACACTCTCATTATGTAGAAGCCTTACACTCACATAGGGACCTTCACATGAACGGTGATGCCATTGAACTGCTTCCTCCTTTGAGAGGCAGGGTTCAGACATTTCCTGGCCCCATTTTTACCCAAAAGCTTCCACATGTCATCATCAATGTGAAATAATTGTCTTTTTCAAGAATATACATTTAAAGGAAAAATTGCATAGGATATTTTTAAAAATACAGTCAAACCCTTTTTAAGTGTTATTGTTAAATAATAAATGCAATTTAATATAACATCCTGCAAACTAAATCTCACTTTATGAACATAGATGGTAGATTTAACTTTATGGTCATTTGAAATAAAGGTAAAATACCTAATATTAGAAACATCCAAATGGGTTACATTCATTTGCACCATCCAACAAACCCTCCAGAATTCAAAACGTCAATGAAGTTTATTAATCTCTAATGTTTATGTAGGTTTTTACAGGCTGCTATGATAGACTCTTTAATAGTTGAACCCAATACACATGTGTCTTTGGCTTCAGTGTTGATTCAGAGTAATGGGAGCTTGAAGTGAGGTCTTCCACTCACTTTATAAAATAAACATATTATACCTTAAAAGCACATTTTCTGTTTTAAACTTGAATATAAAAACAAATTATATTTAAGTTTTCCAACTTTTAGGTGAATCTAACCTTTTTAAGTACCATAATTAAAAAGAACAATATAATTATATTACACAGTGCCTTTGAAATTCAACCTTTTTATAATTTGGTGAATTCCCATTAAACATTTCCAGTATTATAATTATTGGACTGAAAGGTAAAAAAGCATTTCAATAAAAGATAACTATCTGCTTTAACTTACACTTCTGTTTCCAAACTGAAACTTTTGTCAGAGACAGTTGGAAACATTTTAACCTGATCTGATCCAGGTTTTTCAGCCGTGTGTTTTCTGTTTAGAAGGCCGAGCATTGTGAGTGTGTGTGTGTGTGTGACCGTGTGCAACCATCCTGTTTGTCCCTGTGTCATTTCAAAGGGGACTTTAAGCAAAAAAAATTATAATATAGGAAAGTCTTTTAAAAAAGCAGCACAATAGTGGCCGTGGTGTAGCCTTGGTAGCGCTAGCCTTGTGAGGATACACACACTGGGCCAATTTCCCAAAAATAAAAAAGCAACCTTTCATTTCTCCATCAAAGTCACATCTTCCCAGTTAATAGACTGCTCCCTCACTCCCCTTGAGAGAAACCCTGAAAAATAATATAGGCATGTCAAAAGCTGCCCTTCTTCCTTTTATCGCACCAAAGAGAAAAAAATCCACTCCGTCCTTTTTTTGTATTTTCTGCATCTTATTGTGTCGCGCATGTTTGCAGTGAAAGCTCTCTTTGTAAATATATCGACGGCGGTGGGAAAAGTGGCCTCGCACTTTCCTCTCCGGGTGATCGATGATTAAATTCCACACAAATAAAACCAGAAGCTCCTTTAAAGGGAAATAAAAAGCCTCTTGGCCTGTTCAACCCCTCATGTATTGTTTTGTGGCTTCTTTTTCTCTTGCAGAGGTTCACCCCAAAAAAGTGCGGAAGGTTCCTCCCGGCTTGCCGTCCTCAGTAAGTGATAAGATAACTCTTTTTTTTTATTATTCCTGAGCCATTATCGCTGTGTGTGAAGAATAAAAAGGGCTGCTGATGCTCCTGAATGTTTGGAATCGCTGAGCTGGTTTTGTGTAAAAGACGTTGCCAGGCTTTGTGAATTTATCGTCGAGGTGAACACGATGTTGGACACAAACAGCTGATGTTGTTCTGTATGGAAGGAAAATGGAGGTGTAGTTGAATAAATCCCTCTTCTTTACACACAGGATTAACAGCATAAAACTATATAAATGTCTTTGATCGAAACCTCAGCAGTCGATATGCTCGGCTGCTGCTTGGAGGTTTTTATTTTTCAGTTTTGAAGGGATGTGCTGGAAAACATGGAGTTTTTAGAAGAAGCTGTTTTGTGAATTTGTGGAGATGAAGCTGATCCTACTGTCGGAGCTCAACGCAAACAGCTGTTGGTTCTTTGTTGTCTGTTACTTTTGTTAGAATAACATTAAAGAGGTTCCTTCTAGAATAAACACTCATCCTTACTAAATAACACACATGATATACACTTCAATCAAAAAATGCATTGAATGTACTTTATATAACAACTACTTTTATATATTTGTTATTTTTCTAATAGTACTTTAGAGTGTGTAAAGGTGTTTTTCGTGCATTTTAATTCATTTATATTTATTTAAAACAGACCCCATGTATGGGTGCCTTCAAGAAGGATTGTTGCTTTTAGGAAAGCCATTTGTTAAATGTCAAATACAAGGACTTAGAGTATATGTTGCTGGAATGAGCGTGAAAACCGAGATATTTATTATTTGCTTGACTCATTATTTTTGGCCTTCTGGATTGAGACTCTTTCCTTTCCATAAGCTGCTGGTTGGTCGACTGGAATATTAAACTCAGCATAGTCCCTTCAAGGTGGAAGAAACAGGGACATCTGTTCACGAAATGACTGAAGTAATGCAGAAAGTCCTTCACTTCCTAACACCCCACTTTTTACACATTCTCCTCCTTAATGTGTGTGTCTGTGTTTTATATGGCTGTAAACTGAATCTGTGTGTGTTGGTCGGACATGAAAACAACACGTTTGACGACACACGATGGAAATTAAATGATTCGGTAATTTCAGCTCTGAACAGATCATCCCTCGGTACAAGATACATTTTCTCTCAGTGTGCAGGATCTCACAGAAATGTCAAAGCGTCAGTGTTTCCTCCAGAGCTGTACGTTGACCCCAGCTGTTTGAATGAGAAAGACACGAAGTAACAGCACGCTTAATAATGTTCATTTTTATTTCGATGTTTAATTTTTTACGTATTTGTTTTACCTTCTGGTGTTCAAGTAGTCTGCTGCAGGTTGTAGTTTGTTTTAATTTCATTGATATAGGCTTCTGTTGTCACATGTTTCGTGGTGAAGGATTTGGTTGAGTTTATACATTTCATTTTTAACCTTAATTTGGTTTGGAGTTTGGCAAAATGTAGTCCATCGATTGATACTTAAAAAATCAAATATATCTTTGTCATCAATTCAATGTCACCAGTGCGGTTCAAATCTACATTCTCCAGCTCTTTATTGTTGATAATCTGCTGTTTTTGAAAATACGTGGGTGCCGTCTTACACAAAACAAGCAGGTATGATGTGAACATGCCTTCATAATGAACCAAAATATCTAAAATCATCCATAGCTCCAGCTGTAGTTCTCATCAGATGTATTTCTTATTTTGAATTTGAGGTGTTTCACGAGTGGAGCGTTTTTCCCCCTGTTTCTGACCTCATTAATCTGCAGTTAACGATGGCTGAATGTGCGCCGTGTCAGCCGGCTCTTTGGCTCGGCAGGAGTCCGCCTTTCTGTGGCCTCGGCCCGCTTTGTCCGCGCTTCCTCCTCTCTTTCCTCCTCCTCCCCTGTCTGCATCAGCCTGGGGAGGGAGGGGGGGAGGACAGAGGGAAGACGAGAGAAACAAGGAGAGGAAAAGTGTTTTTTTTTTAAGGACAAAGCCGGGAGGTAGCGTGTTTCTTTTGGAGTGGTTGGTGCTGTTTTTCTGAAGTGGACGAATGAGACGTTTTCAGTGGAGGAGAGAGACGTGATGTCATCGGGACTGCTAGTGTGTTTCAATATTAATTTACCATGAGAATGGGAAATCCAGAGATGAAAATTAACAAGAAAAAAGTTCTAAACATCCACAATTAAGGGTGCGGATCTTTAGGTTTCTCATGACTCGATTTTGATACATAAGGCCAGGATTAGATTAAAGTGTAATTCCTGATTCAAAATAGATTCTGGATTCAGTGCATAGGATCTCCACTGTGCACTTATAATGCTTATAGGTATGACAAAGATAAATCTAAGACAAAATGTAACGTTTATTCATGCTAAACTTAAAAATAATAAAGCATTTTAACTGTGTTTTTAGTATTTCTTAATTCTCAGTGACTTTAAGGAGTTATACAAACATTTTCATTTGTACCTGAGCCTGTATCCAACAATTTGTGTCTGTTATGCAACTTTTATGCTAGTTAGCCATTGACCAGATGCAAGACTCAGGCAGGTGTGTTCAGGCAGAATTTGAGTTCTTTTTCGATGGTTACCTCCCCTGCTAGCTTGCATCGATCATACAGCTGCTATCTGATTGGTCGCGTGTCGAAAGGTCTTCTGTTTGTAATTTGAACATTGAACGCAGCGCTCAGCGTCATTTCTGAATCACCTCCATTGGACTCCTTTGTTGTTCATAGTACACATCACTATGTTACACCCATGCTTCTATTGGGTAGTGTCAACACGTTGTACTTGATGTGGCTAAGGGGCGGGACATCTATTGTTGTTGACCAATCACAACAGAACCGTCCAGATAACCAATCAGAGCAGACTGGGCTCTGGTTTCAGACAGAGGGTGAAAAATAAAGAGCTTTTTGAACATTAAAACATGGAGACATGTCACAGGAGAGACACAGAATACAAATATGAACCTGAAAATGAGCATAAAAGGCTCCCTTAAACCAGGGTTCATAGGGATACCAGTGGCACCATCATTGAGACACAGGGTGTGGACACCAGTCTGTATTTCTAGTGACATCTCGACCACCTCCCAAGGACTTATTTGCTGTATGAAATGGTGACACCGCTGTGGACAGACTCTCTGCGACGTCTTGTTTTGACGGCCATGTGACGCCGCTCTTGGATCGGCTCGCCTTGCCTTCATGTCTGCGGCGCAGTGAGAGTCTCTCTCTCTCTCTAACCCGCTCTGTTTTCCAGCCTGTGATGTGAGTAATCCTGCCGGCTGCCTGCCTCACATCAAGAGAGCCGGAGCAGGAGAGCACTCGCTGCCTGTGAAACGGAGAGATGGTTCAACTGCAGGGAAATACACTCAGAAGCACTTTCTGCTCACTTGTTGGCAACAGTATCAGTTGGTAAAGAGAGCAGAAACTGTACCAAGAGCTTTAGGGTTTCCTCTTATATTTTCTAAATGCGATCAATGTCTTTGGAAGCTTCTGTCACTTTTATTATGAAAGGGCATCACATTGCTGACGGCCATGTTTTGGGTTCAGCTTTAGACATGGTGTTGAAGGAGTGTCAAAACAGATATGTGTGTTATTCATTTTCACTTCTTTGACTAGTGTCTAGTAATGTATATGTGCAAACTGGAAATGCTAGTTGCTAATGGAAGTTGTTATGGTGCAGATTTAGCAACATTTAAAGACATGTAGGCTAAAAAACGGTGTAGCTAACAGATAGATGGATGATTATATCATCAAACATGAAGCATGGTGGGAAAGCATCTGGCAAAAATACAATAAGAAATATAGAAATAAAACATGCTTTTAATGATTTTTTTGAAAACGTTATTGTTTCGGACATGAGTAAGACTCTTAAATATCTCATAAAGATAATTCTTCTATCCCTGCAACCCTGTCTCATTTGTGTCTTAATGGAATTGCGTTCTCTCCTAGATTACAATTTCCGTTTCAAACACTTTATTAATGTTGTAAATTAAAACAAGACGAACGGACAAGACTGTTTTCTTAGGTTTGGTAAAAAAGATCAAGGTTTGGCTTCAAATAAAAATAAGTATATTGGTTAAGTTATTGATTTCAAGAACGTACCTTCTATAAAGTCAACGTCGTAGACCTTTGTTTTTTGCATGGAACACCAACAGCTGTCTTCCCGGTAAAAAATCACCAAAAACATTGCTTAAAAATTATATTGACGACTGCAGTTTTGAGTATGGGAGAAACAATAACCTTTCATCCTATCCATTTGTAAAGGCTTTCACATATTATTCTTATATCAGTAATGGCAGTTGTTCATATCATATCGGGGGCGGCTGTGGCTCTGGATAGTGTGCTGGACTTTGAATCAGGGGGTAGCAAGTTGGAGTCCCACTGCAGTCAGCATGTCGTTGTGTCCCTGAGACACTTCACCCCAAATTGCTCCTGTGGGGATCGTCCACAGTACTGAATGTATGTAAGTCACTTTGGATAAAAGTTGTCTAACAGATGACGTAATATCAATCAGAATTGAAAACGGCAGAATGTAAAAGTGAATAATACAGTTTGAGATAACTGTAAAGGGTCACAGTGTTTGGTAATGGTCGTGTTGAGGACTAATAGAAAGCATAGATGATGCGGGGTTTGTTTCACACAGATCGTCTCTCGTTGGTGCTCTAAACTGTAGAAGAAAGCGGCATATGAGATGAGTTGTTGGGGATTGATCCTGTCACCCTGTCAGCTGCTCAGATCAGTTCCATAACGAGTGAGTCTGCTCCGAGATTCCTGCTCTGCTGCTGAAATGTTTTTCTGTTTTTGTCTCCGGATGGTCCGGCCTCCAAACTGCTGCCAACAGCGACTCTGCTTTTATTCCAGCTCTCAGCAGCCGACAGAGCTGATGTCCCCTTTCTTCTGTCTCGTTTGTGCAAACATTTGAATTATCTTTTAATGTACAGTAAGCATCTATTTCGACAGTTTGACATTTTACATATTTTGAGTGTTTTGTAACATCAGTTAGGTGGAATTTATTTTTCAT